GGCATGGGGATCTTGGAGAGCTCCCGGCCAATGCAGTTCTTCATGATGCTCCAGAGGTTAAGGCTGTAGTTGGGCTTGTCGGGGATGCGGGATCTCCTCTTGACTGTGGGTGGAGCTTGGGGCTCAGACGAGGTACCATCCAACACCTGCCGGAGGAGGAGCCGGTGCAGTTGTCAGCAGGCCCCCAGGCCCTGCCTACGCTCCTGACCAGCCTGGCCCAGGGCTGAGTGGAGACCCAGGGCTCCCCGCCCTGGGACACTCACATTGTCCGTGGCGGTCCAGTCGTCCGCAGAGACGGATTCTGTGTCATCCTCGGCTTTCCTGCGGAGAGAGGGACCTGTTCATGAGAAACGCCCGAGTCCCATTCCCCGCCCCCCTTCTCTCCTGAGCACTCCTCAAAGTGGGGGAGGAAGCTCATAGACTTTGGGAGATCCCAGGCAGAGTCTGAGGGCTCTGCCAGGGCAGCGACTGGAGGTGCTCCCACCCATGTCGTCGTCATCTGGGGTCTGTGCACATGGGCCCCGGGGACTGCCTAGCCCCGGCTGAGCCCACGGGTGGACATGCAGCAGAGCCCGCTGTGTCCTTCCTGTCTGTAGGTCTGCTTCCCTTGAAATGGCCTCCTAGAGGGCCCACGTGGACCCGACCTGTCCCTGGACTGGACATACCTCTGTGCAGAACAGTGGGCAGGCCAGCGGGAGGTACCCTGTCTGAGGGGCCCTGCTACCCAGGGCATGAGGGAAGCGGGGCAGCCAGGACTTCAGGGATGAAGAGTCATCCGGGTCACTAAGCCGACTGGGGGTGGGCACTGCAGCCGGGTCAGCAGGGGGGAGGCACAGGGCAGGATAGCATCGGCCCAGGTGCCCAGTGAAGCTGTACACAGAGGGGCCTGGGGAGAAGAGGCCCCGGGGACCATGCCAAGTGTCACGGGATGAGTGATGAGGGCCACCTGCGAGGACCCTCAGGTAGGAAGAGGGGCAGGAAGTATGCCAGGCCCCTATCTTGGTGCGGGGAGCCAGGGGCCGCTCGATAGGCAGAGCTGGAGGCAAGGGCCCAGTGGGCGGGGACGCTGGGTTCCAAGACGGAAGGAGAGCCCAGTGTGGAGCATGTTCACCTCGAGTGTCCAGTGTCCAGTGCTACTGGACGCTGGAGTCAGGGGGCTACTTGCACACTGCTGGCGGGGCCTGGCGGGAGGATGGCTGCCTCTCCTTGAAGTCACTGGGGAAAGGAGGAAGGGAGGTGCCCAATCCTGAATGGTCTCGCACTGACTGGGACACCCTCGCTGCCCTCAGCCACGTGTATGAAGGCAGCGGGCATTGCGGGTGGGCAGAGGGGCAGATGTGGGTATGTACAGACCAGGCTCTGGGTGTACCCCAAGTGGGCAGACTTAGGCTGGGGCCCTGGTTGCTGGGAGTTATAGCTGCATGTCTGTGGAGGCCGGGGGCCCTGCCCGGCCTCATGCAGGGACCCTGGTGGGGACATGGCAGGCTGTGCTGACTTGAGTCAGCGATGTCACACTGCCTTTCCCTGGAACTCGGAGTAGCAGCTGCCCATCTCCCCAACTCAAGGCCCCTCCACGTGGCATCCCTCACCAACTGTTCTGTTAGCTGGCAATCTGAAAAGTTCTCAAGCAGGAGTGAACTTCTACTTTTGTCCCATTTTGTGGAGACATCCCTATGGCCCCCAGGATCTGGCTCTTGCTCCCTTCCCACCTGAGTTAGTTAATTGTGCCAGCCTGGCCGATAATCACATGTGGTGCTGGTTGAAAGGCGGAGGGATAAATGGGTGGTGAAGCCTCG